ATTTGTTTTGAGGGTATTGTGTTCCATGCAAACTGGCCCATAAATTTTGTAAGTAACCGTTGGATATCCATGAAGGCTGAGAGCCATAATCGCTATCATCAATACGTGACCTTACCATACGTGTGGTCACATACCAATCGTCCATGCTTTAGTTCGGGCATTTTCATAGCATTTGTGGCTATTTTGTAATATTGTTACTGATTATAGCTGTAACTTACAGCCCACCTCTGCGCAAACGTCAAGACCGGCGAAAAGCTACGAAGGTACCCCGCCCGTCTCCACGCAGCAAGGACGCCGGCAGCGGCCCCGAAAGCAGCACTCCTCCCCCTGAGGCTCGGCCCTTGGGTCCAAACCAAGAGCGGTGCGATATCTGCGGCCGGGGCTTCAACAAGGACCGCATCGAAAAGCACAGGACCATCTGTCAGAAGGCGGCTACCAAGAAAGTGAAGGGCCTTCGATGCAACCAAAAATGAGGACAAAGGGATTTACGGAAGCAGGAAGGCCTTCGTGGAAAAGGGTCTCCACAAGAAAGAAGTAAAGGTCAGTGTGTGCACTTCAGGTTTGATTTCTTGCTGCATGCAGCTTAAGTGTCCTACATAGCGGTTCTGTTTTCGCATCAAAATGCATGTCTTTTAGTCCTGCTGTGTGCTACTTCGGTACGCCTTTATATAGCAGTACATGCAAAACTTCGTTGCATGGACGTAGTTCGTTGCTCTAATGATGCTACTCATTCCCAGTCTTCACTTCTGCTACATTTTCGTTGCGCAATAATAATATGGCTCAATCTATAAGAACCTTGACGGATGGTATGTAGGAAGCAAGCAGCACAAACGAAAAGTGTTGCAAGTAGCTTTTCGACTTCACAAAGCTTCCACGTACCACTCAAGGCATCACTATAATGCAAGAAATCGTAAGGAATGGAACATTGCGAACAAATCGCTAATGCACTTGCGAAAGATGAATTCTCATTTTAAAGGGTAATAGATGGTGTCCTTGTCTCTTGCTTTGGGACGTTAAACCCAAACTGTCCCTCCTTGCTATTTTTCCTGTCTCTTTCTCACCCTTGCGGCATTTCGTGCAGCATTGCGGCAAGTTGCAATTCACTGAAGCACCGGAACAAAACATTACATACAATAAAGCATTGGGCACCAACTACACAGCTGCTAAATCTGAACGAAAGGAAACATTGCAATGTAAATGTGTGCGGGCTGTTCACGCTGGCACTGTGTTTGCAGGTGAAGAAGCCCAACTGGCGTGCCAAGCATGAGGAGTTCCTCAATGCGGTCCGACAGGCGAGGATGGTGCAGGAACACTTGGCCGCCGGCGGCAAGCTTTCAGACCTGCCGCCGCCACCACCGTCGGAGAACCCAGACTACGTGCAGTGCCCCAAGTGCCTCCGCAAGTTCAACGAGACTGCTGCCGAGAGGCACATTCCCCGCTGCAAACCTCGCTCCCAAGCGTCTTCTAGCACGCCGACCAGGAGGCCAGCTGCCGTCTATGGCCGCAAATGACGAGACTGTTTGACCAGTCGACCAGTTGTTTTACCAGAGTTGACCAGTCATCCAGAGGTGAGGTTCCCTCTGGGCTGTTCAGGGGGACGTCATTGGAAAGGGATGGGTGTAAGGCAGATATGTCTTATTACTCTCTCGTTAATTTTGGAGATGAAATCAGTCTCAAAATTTTGTGCCGCGCAGCACGCGATACATCACTGTATATGGCTCGCGCCATTACTGGCAGTGTATTAAACTGACTACCTTCGAATTACGGTAGTACTTGTTGACTTCATGTCTTGATATGTCTGTTACGGAGTTGCGCAAGATCCGCTAAAGTAAGTGTGTGCTTGAGATGGATCATAGAGGAATACCAGCCCTGGTTGACGGTGTAAGGCATTGATTAGAGAGGTAAAAGAGTCTGTTTTCATAACAGCTGCCTTTGCTGGCTTTGTCTTATTATTCCTCTCTGTAATTCATGCCTTACTATGTCAATATTTTTTTCGTGAGCATCAACGCACAATTGTTTGACACTCTGCTTGCTGGGTCATTTTTCAGAATTATGTGCTCTACATTTTGTGTCCTGTTTTACTTGTTTTATTGTGTGCTGTGTCTGTGTTTAATGAAGCCCAACTTTTAAGGTGTCTCACTTGTGTAACTGCTTATTGTGACTTAGTAAGTTCAAGGAATGGCCCGCAGGGAAAGAGAAAATTGTGAGGATTTGAAACGTATTGGTTGTGATATGTGCTTTGAGGACACAAGAGTTATACCCAAGGTGTGGCGGCCAGATTATGGTGCATAAAACAACTCGTATGGTAGTGTCTTTGGTAGAGTGATTCTTTACAGCAACATGCAGCCAAATAGTGAAATGAGCACTAGTTGTTCAATGAGAAAGGATATACAGTATTACAAACATGTGCATCACATTTAAAGCCCGCAGTTGAGGTAATATAGTGTGTCACTCAGTTCTTAAGGAGGCATAGAACTGCATTCACTCCTTTGTCAACAAATTTGTCATTGCATTACTTACTAAAACATGTTTTTTTGGCAGAACAGATAAAGCACATCAGTAACAAATAAGCGGCTCGCATATGTGTGGTTATGGTCGTGCAGATATTAACAAAATTTTTGAATGCAAGTAAAGACGTATTTCTTTCTTATTTGATTATCCACTTTAAGAATTTGCAACTGTAAGTTACTGAATGTCCTTTTCTTTCCAATTCGATATGAATGCCTACATTTATAGAAATTTAGAGGGAGACAGTAGGATGGATATGAGGGCTGTTTTGAATTCAAGGTAGATGCAGCTTTAGCAGGGGCTGCTGTGTTTGGACGCACGCACAGGACGCATAGGCTGCTCAATAACTTGCACTTGTGCGATAAGTGACATTCTTTTATAGGTACTTAACCAACTCGGTCCATTTTGCAGTTATTTGACCTTGTTTACAACCTTTAAAATGGATGTGCAGTTCTTTCAACCTATCTCATGCAAAAGACACTACACTGTATGGGAATACAGCTGATAGTGTTTTCAACCTTAAAGGTATTAGACGAGCATCGCTCGTTTACTTGTCTCCCAGTCATCATTTTGAACCAGACTCTCTAACTTTCCAGGCTAGCTGGTGTGTTTCTTCATCTATGGCAGCATTTGGTTAGCTATTCCTTTCATTTTAACTACCATTTCACTTTTTTTTTACTTTATTTAGAAAATGTTGTTCAGTGAAGCCAACTTGTGCGTTGTTCATTGATCATCGCAGAAAAAGCCTTTAATCGTCGTGCAGCTCTTCAGGGGCTAGTTATTCAGATATCAAAGTTTACTTCGACATCTTGTGTTTGCCAGTTTCACGATGATGTCATTATTTTGCAAATCGTGAAAGACATGGGCAATAATTTTGCCTTGCAGCGGTGGTCTAGTAGCTAAGGTACTCGGCAGCAGACTCGCAGGTCACGGGATTGAATCCTGGCGACGGGGGCTGCATTTTTGATGGAGGGGGGGAAGTGATTTTAAATGAAAAGAAGAGAAAAGTGGGCCCCGTAACTGTCTCTCAGGGAGAGGACACTTCAATAGTAGCTCACGAGGGGTGGGGGTAAGGAGGGATCGAAATAAGATTAAAAAGGGCGAGATAGAAAGAGCAGAAGAAGAGAGCGAGGCACAGGGACAGCCAACGACAGAAGTGAGGAGAAGATAGGAAAGATGGACAGAATAGCGGGACGGGGCAGCACACTACCAGAGCTCTTGTCGGCGTCAGGAGATGGCATAGGGCGAGCTAGTCGGCCAGAGCTGCGCTGTCGTCAGAGATTGCGGGGGCACAATCGGTCAGCATGAAATCCAGCGAGCGAGTCTTTAGATGGAGGGGAAAATGTTGTAGGCCCGTGTTCTCAGATTTGAGTGCAGGTTAAAGAACCCCAAGTGGTCAAAATTCCCGGAGCCCTCCACTATTGCGTCTCTCATAACCATGTGGTGGTTTTGGGACGTTAAACCCCACGTATCAGTCAATCATTATGGGAAATAATTTTCTTTATGCTGATTTGAGGCCCAACGTGTGTGAATTTTTTCATCAATCAAAGCATGCTTTTTAGAAGCAAGAAATTTTGTGTTAAAATTGAAGCTAAATGTTTTTAGAATCTCTCAAAAAATAAAGTTAAGAGCCCACGGAAAGCTTTTGCTGTGTCGCCCCAAACAAACTTGCAGCAAAGCATTGCTCTCATTTGGATTGTGCTCGGATTTGAAATAATACTCCCCGATTCCGCTAGCTTGCAGTCTTTAACTGATGTGCACTTGTCATTGCTTTATAGTGACCACGGACCACCTTGGAAAATGTTGACAAGCCTCGAACCTGTTGTGCTTCTCAAGCAACAAGCAGTTAAGTGTTCAATGACATTTTGCTGCGAGACTGTTGCCACTGTTTTTTTATCCCTGACTGCGTTTCAAGACGCCAAGGCATTGTTTCATGCCTTGCATAGTGGTTTTACACTTTTGCAACACAAGGACGAAGGAATGCAAGCGATGCTGTATCCTGTGAAGGAGTTCCTGGTGAATTTATTTTTTTTTTTTGCTCTTTTACTGTTTCGTTTTCTAATATATCTTTACTGTGCTTTGCCACACCTCCTGTTATGGCCATTCCTGGTGAGAATGTACGTGTTGTAAATAAATGCTTTTTCTCTTGTATTTATCTTTTGTGTGCATAGGCGTGTATGCATGTACGTGCACTCTCAAATGCTGGCACCTCTATAATGGTGGTGGCACCAAAAGCGAGACTAAAATTCTAGAACACACCTGCCTTCAAACAGATATGCTATTAAAAACATCTGCAAAGTCTTTTTGCTAGTGAAAAAAATAATTTCGAATTTCACACGATTTGAGTTGTACAGATGAGATGGCAAACATTTGCATTTCTAGCTGCACAGCCCAATAAAACATTGTTACTAATTGCAGTCAAAACAGTGCCATTTTACTGCACACGTGTAACACACGCAAATGTGTAAAAAATTCTGTCTGTAGGGCAAAAGAAAATGCACTGGAAGACATTGTAAGAGGCAGTTGTCTGCAATTAAGAATTGTTGCTGTGAGGTCACCTTCTTGTGCTGAAGGTATGAGTAGGCCCAGTGTATGTGTACTGCACAGATAGATGAACAAGTGTGTAGTTTGGTTGACAATACAAATACCATGGCAATAACGGCGCACACTTGATGAGGCTGAACCGAGAAAACGCATCATACGTGCACTGTGTCCTGCGTTTCTTCAATTGTTAGTTCGCGCCTGTGTTTCCTGGAGGTGCGTTTACCCAGTTTGTTGCATCACCACCATTCCGTGTAGTTGGTGCCTGCGTCCTCGGCCCATCCTTGTCCAGTGTACGCTGTTTTCGCCCGAGTAATGCGATGAATACGGCTGGCAGAAGTAAGCAAACTCATCATGCGCATGTTTGTTTCAAAAGGCATTTCTATGCCAATCAAACGGAAAGCTGTCTGTCCTGTCATGTAATGCGAATCGATGTTGGGGAAACAAATTTTTAAAATAAGCATTTAATTCTTGGCAATGCAGAGTTTGGAGCCTGTGCCACACCGCTTCAAAAGACTCTAAGCCAAAAACTTTTTGTGTTATGTCAAAGCTGTCTTTCTCTATCCTGCCGCCGTCTTTGCATAATAGTGGTAGTATACGTAATACCTACGTAATTCACATGTGTGTTTGCATAGTTCTTGAAGTGGGCGTCGACATGCAGGTCATGCGACTAGAGGGGGTAGTGAATAATTAAAGCTAGTTGAGCGTGTTGCTTGAAATGATGATGACTTTAGCACTGAAAGTTCTCAATATCACAGCTTCTCTGTCTGAAAGATGTCTCTGTTTGAATCTGGCTGATTTTTTTTCATTATTTTACGTATGGAAATAGCAGCTGGAGTGCATTGTTAAAAGGTCAGCAAGCGAACCGAAGGTTACATGAAAATCAACTTCACTTTATCGATGCATTGAATATTGGTAGTAACAACTTGGTTGTCTTTTTTTTTCGCTGCGCTTGGCACAGTTTTGGCATGTGAGAAAAATTTTCAACAGTGTTCCTGAAGGGGCACACATGCACATAGTATCTTATTGGCCGAGCTCCGCCAAGGTGGTCTAGTGGCTAAGGTGCTCGGCTGCTGACCCGCAGGTTGCGGGATCGAATCCCGGCTGTGGCGGCTGCATTTCCGATGGAGGTGGAAATGTTGTAGGCCCGTGTACTTAGATTCGGGTGCACGTTAAAAAACCACTGGTGGTCGAAATTTCTGGAGCCCTCCACTACAGCGTCTCTGATAATCATATGGTGGCTTCGGAGCGTTAAACCCCACAGATCAGTCATATCTTACTGGCGGAGACATGGGCCACAGACGAGTGTGTCTATGCTTCATTTAAGAAAAAAGTGAAGCTGTCGACCAGGAGATCCTGTTTTTCACTGGGACATCTTGCTACAAACCATAAAAGAGTTGCCAATAAATACACCTGGATAGATGTGCCACGTAATCATCATTATGTTGCTGGGTCACCACATATTGTATAACTAACATGGTGTGCATAGCCCTTTGTTCCATTGAAACACGGAGCTAAGCACCCACACTTGTGGAATGTGAAGTTACCTGAAGAATAGTGATACGTGATACTCTCGGTGCCAAAGGTTCGTAATAGTATAACAGTTTCTGGAAGGCTTTGTTGGGTTGCAGCGCAGCGTAACAAAAGCCCGGCGTCTCTAGTGCAAGATGTCAAGTCTACATATAGGATTGTACACAGCAGGAAACAGGCTGTCTGAAAACTCTTGTGCGTGGGGCCGCTCCAGACCATGACGAAACTGGAAGGACGATTCGTTCGTGCCGATGCCATCTGAAGACATTTATTTAAGCAATGCAGTAACCCATAGGCGTGCGCGCACGGGGGAGCAGGGGACGCGGGGGGGTCGCAAAGCAAGCTCATGCATGCATTCACGTAAATAAGAATTAAGAGGGTGTGCAAAATCAGCCGGCCATTGACATAGGGAGGGGTCGCTGCGACAAACTCCCCCCCTCTTCGAGGGATTAAGAACGCTGCGCACGGCTATGCGGAAACTTACAAGACAACTGCACGCTTACTCAACAGGTAGGCAACTCCATATATGTATTATGCCGCATATTTTTTCTTTATACTGTAGCAAATAATAGATGCGCGGGGATCTGGTCAGCGTGCTAAAGGTTCCGCTTAGTTGTAACTCGGTGCTAGTGAGCTTGTGAGCGCGTTTGAGCATTCACTAAGCTCTGTCCGCCAGGCGGTGCTATTGAGTGCGGTGCCATAGAGTTACCGTATATGATAAAAGATAAATCTAATTGGTGGTTCGCTAAATATTACGGCTAGGTGGCGTTAGCTGTCGCACGATATAAAGGGTACAGCCACATCCATCCATCCATCCATCTATCCATTCATAGAGTTACTGTATATGATAGTATATTGTTACGGGTAACGTATTTAATAAGTTAAATACGATGCACTGTGCTCGGCGAACAAGATGGCGACAGTTCATCAACAACCAGCCACCAACGTCGTCTTTCTCTTTCTTCCAGACAGGCTGTGCCGGTGGTTGCGTATCATAACCCCCCGGCGGTAGAAGCACCGTCTCGGTGCTTGAGCAACTCGGATGCGGTAGAAGGAGGGTGATAGGGCTTGAGTCGGGCTATGTGCACGATGTCACTCGAAGGTGACGATGACGACGTTGAATCGGCTGGCACGATCTCGTATGTAACGTCAGTCACCTGGCGAACGACGCGGTATGGTCCAGTGTAGCGTGACAGCAGTTTTTCAGAAAGCCCTACACGCCGAGTGGGGGACCAGAGGAGGACAAGGGAACCCGGTGAAAAGTGCACGTTTCGATGATGGGAATCGTAGAGCTGTCTTTGGTGCTCCTGTGAAGCCTGCAGGCGGCTGCGGGCGAGTTGGCGTGCGTGGTCGGCTCGCGCGATGGCTTCGCCGGCAAACTCCGTGACCAAGGGCAGCAAGGTGTCAAATGGTAGGGCGGGTTCTCGGCCGTATAGAAGATAGAATGGTGAATAGCCGGCAGTGTCGTGACGTGACGAATTATATGCGAACGTCACAAATGGCAAATGAACGTCCCAGTCCTGGTGGTCGGCCGCTACGTATTTGGAAAGCATGTCGGTTATGGTGCGGTTGAGGCGCTCCGTAAGACCGTTCGTTTGCGGATGGTACGAAGTGGCAAACTTGTGCTTGGCCGAGCAAGAGCGCAGGATTTCTTCAACGACAGCTGATAGGAAGGTGCGGCCCCGGTCAGTGAGAAGTTGGCGTGGAGCTCCGTGTACTAAAATAATATCATATACCAGAAAGTCCGCCACATTGGTTGCGCAACTCGTCGGAAGTGCTCGTGTGATAGCGTACCGTGTCGCATAGTCAGTGGCGACAGCGATCCATTTGTTGCCTGAGCTGGAGATCGGGAATGGGCCAAGCAGGTCGAGGCCAACTCGAAAAAAAGGTTCAAGGGAATGTCGATCGGCTGAAGGAATCCAGCTGGTAGCGAAGATGGCTTTTTGCGGCGCTGGCAGGGTTCACAAGCGGCAACGTAGCGTCGAACAGAGCGGGCAAGACCAGGCCAAAAGAAACGACGACGTACACGGTCGTATGTGCGAGAGACGCCCAAGTGGCCCGCCAAAGGAGCGTCATGAAGTTGGTTGAGAACAGTCGCACGAAGATGTGCTGGTATGACGGGGAGCAAGTCATGGCCATATGGATCGAGGTTACGGCGATACAGGATGCCGTCTTTTACCAAGAACATTTGTAGAGATGCGTCGCGAGGCCTTGACTCAAGCTTGCTAATGATGGTTCGCAGTGAAGCATCCAGGCGTTGTTCGTGGCCAAGGTTGAGTAGCTGCGTCACAGACAGAAGGTCTGGAAAGGTGTCAGTATGGGCAGCCTCTTCCACAGGGTAGCGTGATAAGCAATCAGCATCTTGGTGTGACCGCCCTGTTTTGTACGTTACGGTGAACGTGTATTCTTGTAATCGTAGGGACCAACGAGCGAGGCGTCCTGTGGGATCCTTGAGTGAGGCCAGCCAGCATAGCGCGTGATGGTCGGTAACTACCCGGAATGGACGCCCGTATAAGTATGGGCGAAACTTGGCGACTGCCCACACGAGAGCGAGACACTCACGTTCCGTGATTGAATAGTTGCGCTCGGCTGTAGATAGCAGGCGGCTTGCATATGCTATAACACGGTCATGTCCGTGTTGATGTTGCATTAGCATTGCTCCGATGCCATGCCCACTAGCGTCAGTGCGAACCTCGGTTGGAGCTGATGGATCGAAATGGGCTAAAATCGGCGGTGTTGTAAGGAGCGTCGTGAGCTGGGAAAAAGATGAGGCTTGATCAGCGCCCCAGAAAAACGGGGTGTCCTTTTTCAGGAGGTTTGTGAGTGGGCGTGCAATGATGGCGAAGTCCTTAACAAACCGTCGAAAGTAGGAGCACAAGCCCACAAAACTGCGAACGTCCTTTGTTGACTTCGGAACAGGAAAGTCCGTGACGGCGCGAATTTTCTCGGGATCCGGGCGGACTCCTGCGGCATCGACGATGTGGCCAAGTACGGTTATTTGACGACGAGCAAAGTGGCATTTCGACGAGTTCAGTTGAAGTCCGGCTCGACGAAAAACTTCAAGAATCGCCGATAAACGCTT